TAAATCTCTGAGGAAACTGGAAAGACTGGTGAAATTACTTTTCAGTTGTAATCTGAAGAGCTTTGACATGACACACTATAAAATTACACTTCACAATAGTGTGAATTTGAGAAAAACAAAAGCCTACTTTAAAGTTGCAACACTAGAGAGCTTCTGCCAATATTGCTAAGTCAACAAAACCCTTTAGCAGAAACAGCATTTGACTTTGTCTGCCAACACAGATATATCACCTACCCATGTGTCAAAACTAGGCTGGAAAAAGCACTTTTTCAGCACTTTAGCATCCACACTGGGGTTTCACCATTGCTGCTGTGTTGCCTAAGCAATGTGAAAAATATATATCCCATAGGTAACCTAGCAATACATGCAAAAGTCTTACTTTTTCTGTAATTATGTTTGCATTTTCTACCCTTCACAGCTACTAGTCATTTTTTCTTCAGATTTCAATCAGTTTTATGTTCAGATGCTCAATCACTAGTATAATTTTATAATGAGTAAGCTGTAGTGCAAATATTACAGTAGCACTTGGTAGTACCACTGGAATGTATTAAAAACCTTTATGGAAATACTTTGGTTAGGCTTATGGAAGCATGGGCTTACCTAAGTTTGGGGTCATATTTAGCAAGATATTTTCTCTTAAAATATCAAACAGTTATATACAGAATAGTTATGAACTATTATCTATTTTCTGTTTAGATTTAAATGTTCCTGTTTCATATTATATGTAAGGTGTAAGACCTACATACTCAAATCATTTGACTCCAAATTATGACTACGGTTTTGGAAAAAATGTGCTAGAGTCTATATTTTTAAAAAGCCTGCTTATGACATTACATATAGAGGGAAAAACATAACTTTCAATCATAATACTTTAGAGCTTTATTAAATCAACAGCTATCACCAAAAAATAAAGATCCAATCAGTAAGGATAAAGTATGTTTCTTGCCTGTAATAAGCTGCAGCATCTCAGAGAATAGAATGGCTTCTGTCTCTGTAGATAAGTAAAAATGTAAAGATACAGTACACAGACAACAAAGATGCCATAGGGTCTAGCAATATGTAACACCTCCCAAAAACTCTCTGTACACTTGATTTCAAGGACTTTGAGTGCCATTACATCATCTCCTTAGGCTGCTCTATGCCAATAATATTTTTTTGCTTTGTGTTCTACTTGGAATACTGTCTTAAAACCTTTTAGCACAAAAATACAGCAAAAGGCAGTTAGAGAAGTAGTAAAAACACTAAATGAAAAATAACTGCCCCCTCCACAAAAAAAGGAAACAGAAAATGAAAAAAGCACTAAGATATGTTCAGTAAAATCTGCAGAAAATGGTCCAAACTTCAGTAAACATCCAAAGCACTAGGTGTGTTAGAGATTTAACCCTCATCTGTTCTCATGAAACCATAACTGTTGCTGTTCTCAGGGCATAACTTGTTACTCTACAATTTAATATTGTTGGTCTCATAGGATAACTTGTTATCCCACCCTCATGAACAAAATGGAATCAGTGACAAAAATATAAATGTACCCAAAACTATTTATTAACTATTTATTAAATGTACAAACTGTTTGAAGTATTTATGATGATTTGAACTCAAACTATTATTTAACTAGAACTATGAACAAAATTAACACTTTTTAGAATGTCAAAACATGAATGAACAATTTGCTAAGTCTGCAGTTCACACTGTTTTCAAACTAACAATTACTTCCAAAAACATTTCCTAACTGTTTTAACTAAATATAGCATTCCTCAAAAAGCAGCAGTGATGTACTGTGGTGCACACAAGCAAATCACTTACAATCTTCACATAATTTCCAGGTTTTGTGGTCATGTGTCTTTGGACAAAAAGCATAATGTCCGCTCATGCTTGCAGAAGTTCCTACTGAGGTGAGTTGTGGTAATTTGTAATTTAGGGCAGTGATACTAGACTTGACAGACATAGACAGACAACATGTATCCATCAACCTTTGCTTTATTTGTCTGTCAATCAACTGTTCTCCAAGCTCCTGCAAAAAAAAAAAAAAAAAAGTGGTGTCTTCTTAAATGTGATCTTTGTTTCCAGTTTGCATTGTGGTCTAGCCAAATGATGAGGCTGGCAATGGCAGCCACATCCAGCATACTTTAAAATAGTGTCATTGGCCACCTGTTGATTTTCTGTCTGCAGGTGGTCAAGGTTATCCACCCCACCCTTATTTTTATTGTAGTCATGGATGATGTCTGGCTTTCTTTGCTTTCCACTCACTGACAGGTCATGGTGCATGCTTGACAGCAACAACACAACTTTGGACTTTCTTGGAACATAGGAAACTAGGGTGAGTTCCCCATCAAAAGCAAAAATGGATGAAAAAGTTTTCCTTCTTCAATTTGCTTGCATTTCATATGGGATATCAGCCTTGTTTTTATGAATTGTGCCCACATAGGTCAAGCCCTGCTATAGCAGTCTTTCTGCCAGGTCAGTTCTTGTACAGAAATTGTCACCCACAATATTCCATCCCGTCTTGTACCAGGGATGAACTAGTTTTTCAATTATCTGGGTACCAAGATTAAGTTGATGTGGAGCTTCTGGTTACTTGCCTAAGTAGATGTCTCCAGACAGGGGGAATGATGTTGCTGCATCATAGCACCATCAAATTTTCAAGCCATTTTTAGCAGGCTTGCTGGGCATATACTATCTGAAGGGACAGTGACCCCTTAATGCAATGAGCTGCTCATGAACTGTCAGGTGTATTCCTGGAATATACCATTCCCTGAGCTGCTCCACAAATTGTATCCCAATATCTCTGAAGGCAGCAAGCTTGTGCACAGCTCTCCTTTCCTCATGTGTTAGTTTGTTGTCAATTCTCAGGTAGCTGGTGATTTGATGGAATTGTTTTAAACTCATGGTGGCACGGAAGCAAGGACGCCTGATGCATTGCTCCCACAACTCCTCCAGTGCCTTGTGACCACTGTGCCTTAGACCACTCAGCAGTAGGAGGCCAATATAAGCTTTCAGCTCTGTTTCATCCAGCTTTTTCCACTCCTTTCTATTTTCAGGATGGCTATCATTCCATTCCCTGAACCTTCTTTCTGCCTCTCTGTTTCTCTTATGCTAATGGCCAGGATATCTTGTAGAGGAAAAGGTGGAATGTTTCCACCACGGAGTTTTTATTACTTTCTCTTGTTGGCCCGGCACTTTCATGAACTATGTCCTCGGCTGTTCTCTGAAGATGTATTAGCTGTCAACTCTCCGCCCCCCATTCTGCCATTCCTTCCTTTAAAGGTATCATTGTCTGAAATGTTTTCTGGGAGTAGTGACAGTGGTTCTTCTCCACATCCTGCTGTAGCTCTCCTTGGTCTTTCATGGCTGCCCTGGGCTGATCCTCTTCCCTTTCCCACTGGAAGTGTTGGCATCACTTCTGCTTGTGGCATCAACTCCTCCTCATCTGAGCTGAATGAAGCTTCTATAGATACATGGTCTTGCTCTGAACCATTTCCCATGTCTGGAACAAAATCAGAATCCTCACTGCCTTGGGATAAGATTTCATCAGTGGATGTGTTACTGTCATCCCTGGTTACCTGTCCAAGACAGGCTTCAGAACTGACTATGCGCTGCCTTCTCATCCTGGATTGCAGAAAAAAAGAAAAAAAGAATTACTGCTGAATGCTTATAAATAACAATAAAAGACAAGCCTGTCCACCTGTGCTGTCACAAAAGCAATTCTGCCCAGCCCTATGGCAGCACAGGTAGCACCCTCTCCTCCTGGGCATAGAAGCCAGAGACCAGCATTTACCCTTTGCAGGCAAGTCAAATGCAGGTGGATGCTGTTTGGAAACCACACATGCAGGGGCTTATTGAAAGCAGGTAAAAAGGGCATAAGAGGTGTCAAGCCCTTACCGTTGAAGGGGACTCCATAGTATATCCTGCATTGTAGTACGATGTTGTTCTATTTCTTCTCTGCTGTCCCTTTGCTCCTTGTCCTCACTTCCAACAAAGGCAGGGAAAACTAGCTTTTATGTTGTGGAAGGGGCAGGTGAGACAGAGTTTTGCCATGAGAAAAGAGATCAGAGGTGGATTTGGTGTGACAAAGATTTAAAAAAAAAATTTTTTTTGGCAAAGGCCAGGGTGTTTTGATGACCTTGAAGTCTGCAGACAAAGTGGTTAGCAAAAAGGATTACCACATCTTCTGCAAAAGCAGAGTGGAGGATGGCCATCTACTAGTTACCATGGATAACTGAAGTGGACATAAATGAGGTGTGAATGAATGCTAGCCTTTCAGATGCATTCACCCAAAGTGGCCAAACAGGTCTAGGCCTGTCATTTATACAGAAATTGCACTGGGGTAACAAGTTACCCCGATGTATTAACATGGGATTGGGGTGAGTTGTTACCCCATATAGAAAAACACATTCACGCCTGGGATAACATGTTACCCTGGGCAGTTTTTCATCCACAGAGAGCAAACCATTTATGTAAGCTGGCTGTTCTTTGAGGATATTGTGCACTGTGGTGCAAATGACAATGTCCTAAAAATATTTTTTTTTAGAATTAATTCACTTTAAGATACTGCACAAAATATGCATCTGGGGTAGCAAATTACCCCATAGGAACACATGAAGTTTAAAATATTCAAAATACAATTAGTAGTCAAAAAATATAAACCAAAATGCAAGCAGTAGTTAAAACATAAACCATTTCCTCTCATACACACATATAATACGATTCACTTGTCAGCCCAAGTAGTGAGACCCAAATAGTAAATTATGATGGATTATACAAATATTCAGTAATCATCAAATTTTGATATCTGGAAATTTTCTACCTAAATACTCATTGTAAATAACCATTCCTACCTTAACCAAACCCAGTTGAATAGATTATGAAGTTATATAGAATGGAATTACTACTAAGCTCCATGTGAAATGTGAAGACTTTTTATTTATAAAATAATAGAATTAAAAAAAATGCATGTTATAATTTCATACAGCACTTTTAAAAACAAGAAGAGAATAAATTACCTGTGGTGGAAGCAGTGGTAGTCTGATATAGGCAAGTAACATACTCAGGTCACTGCATCTCCTTTGCATATCATACTTAACCCACATCATTAAGGCATGAAAAATAGTTTCTTCATCAGGAACATTCACATCATCACTTGCAAGGAGTTTATGTAGCTCCTCTGCTGGCAATAGTAAAAACTCTTGATTTCTGATGACTTCCATTATGTTCTCCTGTATGGAAACAAAGTATTTGGAGAGTAAATCCTACCAGAATATTAAATCAGTTGCTAAAGCTACAAAAACACCAACATCAACCAATATCCTTCACAGTCATCCCAAAATAAGCCTTAAGAATAATTCACACTGAAATGCAAATGTCCCCTTACATAATGAGGGTCACATTATAGTGCTAATAGCTTTGAAATACAAAAAGCAAGTTGTCATTTAGGTTGAGATCTCTCTGTATTACTGTACATCTGGGAAAGTAGTAGTTTAGCGCGTATCAAATATTTTTAAAATGTAAGAAAACAAAACCCTACTACAATAAGCATTGTTGGATTGTATCCTTCTTATTCTGTTGGGAAAATAGCTTTATTAGTTAATAGAATCATAGAAAAGAGAACTGTAAGGGACCTCAAAAAGTCATCTATTACAGCCCCCTGCAGGATCATTTCTATCCAGCTCAAACAACTACTGTGCTCCAGAATGAATTCCATCATTACCATCATAAAGGGCAGAAACACTATCATCAGTGGGAGAGTACTTTTCATAAAACAGTCACTCCATCTCTGACCTCACAGTCCTTGTTCTCAAAGGAAATCTACATTCTAGCTTCAGAAGATAAGTCTAGAAAAAGTAATTTAGTTTTTTATTAGACACAAAAATAATGAACTTAACAAAGACACTGGTTTTATGACTCATTATAAGTTGCCTCTCATCTCTCCTTCTTTCAGCTTGGCTTCACAGGTAAATGCCTGTGACACTTTTAAGTGATGAAATCTATTAGACTAGTTAGGTTAAACTAAATAAATTTGTTCTAACTTTTTCTGAGCTATGACTGTGACTGCTTCTTTCCCAAACCTAATGAAGGGCCCTTAAAACAGAAGGATTTTCTCTTATCACACCAAATTTTGCAAGCTGACACAATAGAAGACTTTATGCCTGCGTACAGATATTCAAAAAGCCCAAGACAAAATCAGTCTAATTTATGCAGTTTTCTGTAAGCAGCATAGTTGAGATTGGTAGCAATCCAATCTCAAATACACATTAGATCCTTTGGTGGGAGAAAGGGAACAAATCTTAGACTGGGTTCTGGCATTTTTAAACCTGTATGTGCAATATTCTGTTCTGGGTATAGACCAGTTTTGTGTGACAAATGTTCTGTCTGTTATGGGTATAGACTGCTTTCCAATCACTTATATCCCCCAAAAGTGTAATGTTTGTATTTGGCCTATATGTTACCTCACAAATCTTGTTCCTTTCATATCTCTGAACTACAATGACTCCAACACCCACACCACTAAAGCAGCTCAGACAAATGTTGTCTTAATGTGGATTTAAAACGTCCGGTTATGGTAATTCCACATCTCTAGCTAACGTGTTTCACTGTTTAAGCAACCTCAAACCTCATAGCTTAGAAAATGTTTTCTAATATCAAACTTAAAGTCAGAAAATATAATCATATTTTCTCAAGGAAATGGGTTATAAGATAAAATTTAAGTATATCAGACTATATTGCTTCCAAATATGATTATGAAGAAAATATAATTCTATTAATAAGAACTAACATGAAACTTTGCAATCGTATACACAGTCAATGGCCTTATATCATTTAACAGAACTTTGGTTGGTAAAATGCCTTTCATGAACTAAAAGTTTCTATTAATTTATTTACAGAACATGTGGTTGCTTGCCATAATCCCAAAAAACTG